GATCTATTAGCGTTTTTAGGGTTAAATCAGATTTTTTTAGGTCTTGTTCGGGATCTCTCGACGTCTTGTTTAGAATTTTCGACGTGGGTGTTAGATTGTTTATGGGATCTCTAGGCATCTTTCAGTGAAATCAAGAAAAAATGTGGGTTTTTACACAAATATCACCTTAAAATAAAGTAATTACTTGTTATGCACTGTTTAAGAATATTTTACGGATCTAACAAAATTTTAAGAATATCATTTTAAAAAAATATGAAAAGTTTTGAAATTTTATAAATTTATTTAATTATAAAATATTTTAAAAAAAATTATTTTAAAATATAACACAAGACATACACATATTTTTTGATGGACTTATAAACTTCGATATTATAACGTACGAGATTCATGATAAAAGACACTTTCTTTTTTATTAATTTTTTGTAAAATACACTTCTCGATATATTATATGTAAATATATGTTAACTATTTTTTATTTAATTTTAATTTAAGTTGTATATAATTTTGAGATATTTTTTCTTTTTTCCTAAACACCCATAAAATAATAGCACGTCAATAACGATTTAATGATTTATAAATATTAAATTAAATTGAAATTTAATATTAAGTTGTACGAAACTAAAAACTTATATATTTTATCATGCATTATACTAAAGTTCCGATATATTTTTAACTAATACTTTTTGGTGTTAAAATATTATTGTAAAAGGAAGAGAGAATGAGCTACAATGGAAACATCATTAAGTGATGTGCCACTGGTATTTTAGGTGAATTATATACTGAGTAAACTTATATAAAATTTATAAAAAAATTATGGAAAGTATTTAAAATTTTGCTAGATCCGTAAAATATTCTTAAACAGTACCTAATAAGTAATTAATTTATGTTAAGGTGATATTTGTGTAAAAAGGCCAAATTTTATCATTGATAACTTAAAGACGCCTAGAGATCCCCTTAAACAATCCAACACCCTCAAAACGCCAGGAGATCCCAAACAAGACACCTGAAAGATGCCAGAAGATCCCAAGCAAGACGCCAAAAAAATCTAATTCAACCCTGAAGACGCCGAGAGATCCCAAATCTACTGTAAAAAACACCACATTTGAGGAATTAATCAGATGAACACGTTAGTATGGGAATTAAACACTCCATGTAGCATTATATTGGCACTTTTGGCCATTTACTAAAGGCACCCCCATATTGTTTTTTTTATTCTTTATCCAACTTTGCTATTTAAGTATAAAAAATATAAGTATGGTTATTTATTGTTTTTTAAAATAAAATAATTTCAAAATTCAAAAGAAATATATTTAATGAAATAGAGTGGGGTATTATTTTTAGTATATCTGAAAACCTCTTTAGTTAACATTTACAACTAATATTGTTATCATTTTGGACCTACCGAATTAAAACTAATGATGTTATCAACATAATTTCGAACAATTAATGACGTTACCGTTCCAGTTTACGATCGAACCGAAATATAAGTGGTGCAAATGACTTTTCTATGTCAAAAGGTATACAATGATATAACACGAGAGAAGTTCCCATTAACCTTTTAGAAGGAAGTTTTGACGTTTCGACAAGTACTCGTTTTCCCCAAACGAACATGGTCTAAAAATTATTAACTTTAGAAAGAAAGAAAAAAACAATATATCCCTCTCCTTTTACTACTGCTGGATTTTGTTGCTGTGGTAAGAAACAATAGTTTTCATGGGATTATGATATCTTTGGATTCTTTGAAAGGGTACATTAAAGTGTGACTGTCAGGAAAGAGACTAGAAAAAACAAACTTTTTTTTGTCATTGCTTTTCCCATGCCACCCCATTTCATCAATCTCTTCGTCTATCCCTCCTATAAACACTGGTACGTCACCATATATTATATATTTTACATATAAAATTGTAAAATAAAATAAATCGGTAAACAAAATAAATAAATTACAATCTCTGACACATCCAAAAAAATATTAATGGGGACGTTCCAGGCATTGTTTTGCACACACACAGGCGAGCCAATTTATAAAAATTTAAAAGTTAGAGCTGAGACAGAGAGGGAAACATTGCCGCCCCGGTTCAGGGCCTTACGGTGGTGGTGAACATAGAAAGTTAATCGTCATTACATATACTGCAAACTCCATGCACTACTCAGTGATACTATTATAAATTCAACAAATCTATGGAGAGAAAACAACACCAATAAGAAATGTGTTTAAGTGGGAACAAATTTAATTGTCAATGATTTATATGTTTTTAACTTGAATAAAAAATCCCTGACGACTTTTGGAAAGATAGTTATTTCACTTTAATAAATGAACCTAACCTATAAAAAATTGTGTATAGAGTTTGCGTTCGAAAAGTGTGAAATTATTAGAAATTTTGATAAAAGAAGATGCTTGTACATAAATTTTAAAAGGCTGAGAATCGCTTCAGGAGGTATAACCTATCTAATGTGATTATGTGAGTTTAGACAAATTGTATGTAAATTGTATATACTGAAAGGCCTAAAGGAGTTGGCCGGAAGGTATGGTGGCATGCCGTGAATCTTGCACAGCAATGGCTCCACCATTGCCGCTCTTTCTCAAACTGTGCATTTAGAGAGAGAGAGAGAGAGAGAGAGACTGGCTCCAGATTTCAACGCTTTCACAAGTCTTGAGAATTGTGTCAGATAAAGAAACAACACGTAAATGTCAAATCCTGCATCTTCCACCCCAGGTTGTCCACCTCTGCACTTGTATAATAATACCTATTAATCAATCAAGAGCTTAAAGTTCCATAATTTAAAAATGGGTATTTAAAAGTGACACATTTTTCAGTGGCCTTAGGCTTAGGCTTAACATCTTCACTCTTCTCCATATGCACCGTCACGTGCTATTCCCCTCTGTTTCTCTTTCAAAGGTCTAGGCCATTTGAGAGAGCAGTTCAAAAGGAGGTTCAAAGTTTTAAACTTCAAAAAGAAATTTATTAAGTTTCTGTTTTCTTCAATTTAGTGATGAAAGAGAGTTTTACTTTTCAAAGATATTTTTAAGTTCGGGAGATATTTATAATAAAATAAAACGAAATTAATTAATAAATGATTGTTCGAAGAAATTGTTTTTTAAAGTCACAATCTCTGCAGCTTTTTAATTAAACTGGTTCACATACAGGGCATTAGTATTGTAATTAGTGAAAGTTGTAAGTACATTAAAAACCACTCTGCTTGTTTTGTTTTCTTCAATTTTCGTTTGACTGCCCTCTGTGCTGTGCTCTGCTATTCTAAACTTTCCGGCATCCTTCCAGCTCAAGAAGTCATGATCCTTTGTGTTTATCCCATTGGTTCCCTGCTTTCCACCCTCATCCTTCTTTTCCAGTTAAAAGAAACAAAGATTAATAACAATCTAATCAATATGAAATATATAAATTAGATTAAAGGTGAAGGACTACTGATTCCATTTCCATATAGTCAATGAAACCACTAGTTCACAACTCATTGTTTGGGTCGTGTATAATCAAATTAAGTTAAAATTTTTCGGGTTAGTCTAGTTAACGAGTCTTATTTTATGATTTAGATTTTATTTTAAATTTATTAAGTCAAATTTATAAAATTTGAGTCAAAATTTTCGTGTTTCTATTCAAAATTAAATTTAATGATTTATAATATTATACATTCAACCTTTATCATAGTATAATCTAGTTTCAGTTTAAACGAATTTCTCTCGATATATAAGATATTATTTATAATGTTATTTCTTAAATGATTTTTTGAAAATAAAGTTTTGAAGAGAGTATAAAGGAGTAGAAAAACTAATAGAAAAAATCTGTAAAAAAATTGTAGTCAAAGGGTCATATTTAATAAAATGAAATTAATGAATTAAACTAAAAACAAATAAATATATTATTAACAATAAGAATTGAAGTTGTATAGTTATATATAGCATTAGAGGAGTATGTGGCTCAAATTTGATCAAAATTAACATAAAAAGAAAAATGGAATTGAGGAAATAAAAAAAATAGAGACCAAATCATAAAATAATCAAATTACTTAGCTTAAAACCCAAGACGATATTGTTTTAATTTTTGTTTTTTCTAGTTATTAGAATTTTAAAAATTCAAACTCAATTTAAAATTTAAATTAGAAATTTGTGTTGACTTAAGTAACACAAACAATTTGAACAATTCAACTTAAATTACTTTAAATTTTAAAAAAAATTAGATCGAAGTAAATTTACTCAACACTACTCATTGTTATGTTACGCAGAAATGTAAGAGACTAAAAAAAAGATGTAGGAAGAACTGCAGATTTAGAGAAGAAAACAGAATAAAAACAGTAAAGAAGAAGAAAAGAGAAGGCATATTGAAGGAAAGTTGAATTCATTCATGCAATTCTCATACTTTTCTAACCCAAAACATATTACAATTGTAACCTATGAAACCCAAAAGCCCACTACACATTTATTTATTTGTGAAAAGACCCGTTACATGAAAAACAGATACCAGTTGGGTCCATAAGCTTCAGCCATATCTTTTAATAGTCCAAAAACAATCCTAAATTCGAGCCACTTCGGGTAAAACTTAATGGTAAGCGTATGGATGCCTTGGGCAGAGGTGAATGAAAAACAAAGAACCATTTCGGGCGAAGCATGGGGTGGTGAAATAATGATTTACAATTTACGGATTCGTCCTACGTTGTCTGAATGAGAATGTTGATTAAAAAATAATAAAATTGTAGGATTATTTCAATTCGTTCAGATTCAGATCACTTCGATGATCAATACAATACTTGATATGTGAGGCAGACCGTCCTAACCCAATATTGGGTATTACATTGTATCTGCAGTTTTCGATAAGAATTTTATACAAAATTACTTCGAAAAGCATATATAAACCTCCTAAGCCATTCAACAAAAAAATTGAAAAATACGTTCCAAGCAATATTTGTAGTGCTCAATATAATAAGAATACCTGTAATTAGATACTAGCAAGCATCTTTCTCCAAAATTCATATGCAGCAGAAACTCTCCCTCATTGGCACCTCATGACTTCCATAAGAGCGTTGCAGGTTGCATGATCAGGCTCAATGCCTTGCTTTCTCATTGTGGAAATGATACCTACAGCTCCGGTTGGCATTCCCTCCTTCCAATAGGCATCCACCAATGTATTATACGTGCCATCACAAGGCTCAATGCCTTTCTTTCTCATCTTGTCAACAATATCTTTAGCTTTGGAAAGTGCGGGGATCAACATATCATACATGACACCATCAGGCCCAATGCCTTGCTTTTCCATTGTGTCAAGCATATATTCAGCTCCGGAAACCATCCCCTTGTTGCAAAGTGCACCGATCAATGTACGATACGTGACAAGATCAGGCGCGACGCCTTGCTATTCCATCGTGGCAACGGTATCTTCAGCTATGGATACAATCCCCTTCTTGCAAAGCGCATCGATGAATATGCTATACTTGACAATATCAGGCTCGATGCCTAGCTTTCTCATTGTGACAGCAATACCATCGGCTTTGGGAACCATCCCGTCTTCACAATGTGCACCCACCAATATACTATACGTGTCGAAACCAAGCTTAATGCCTCACTTTTCCATCGTGTCAACAATCCCTTCAGCTTCGGAAACCATCCCCTTATCACAAAGTGAAGCAATCAGGATATTATACGCGACTACGTGAGGCTCAATCCCTTGCTTTCTCATTGTGTCAATGATATTCATAACTTTGAAAATCATCCCCTCCTTGCAGTGTGCATGAATCAATATGTTAAAGAGGGAGATGTTTAGAGAAATATTGTAATCCATCATGTCAGTCAAAAGCCTAGTTGCCGCCCCCTCCGGCCGGGACGACTTATACATCGCATGCATTAAGAATGTGTAAGTATCGACAATTGGCCTAGTACCCTTGTCCCCTATTTGGGACGCGAGCTGGCGTACCTCCTCCTGTAACAGCCCCACCTTGCAATAAGAGTCGATGAAAGAGGTATATGCTGCAATATCATGTTCAATGCCTGTTTCTTACCATCCTTAGAAAACTAACAGCTCTTTTGGCTTTTATGGTCTTACCCAACCCGCAAAGTAGTAAAACTATAACATTTAAACTAGGTGGATCCCCTCCTTCAATCATTTCATGAAACAACCTCTCGGCTTGAAAAATATTAGGTGCATACAAAGTCCACTAATCAAAGTGGATGAGGTTACAACATCAGGTTCAACACCTAACTTGAGCATTTTCCCCAAAACAGAAAACACAAAATCAGTTTGGCTTAATTGACAGAAGCAGTGAATAAAGATGTTGAGAGAATAAGCATCTACGAATTCCATCTGGCTACACATAGAAACATCATCGGCATAATGTTTCATTCTAACCATGTCGCTTAATGATCTGTTGAATTTCATGATGGAAGGCTTAGGGTACTTGTCAATCCTCTTACCAAACAAGGTGAAAGCATCATCTTCGTTGTACTTTCCCCGCACACACACGGGATTCATAGTTAAAACATCGGATACGATAGCAATGGAAGAAAAAGAGAGCAGAAAATTGAAAGGTTCATTCGAGCATTAACAACATGGAATGATCCCAAATTAAGAGCAAAAAAAAGTTATATTAAAACATATACTTACTTATACTTATCCCAAATTAATCCATAAAAAAGTATGATCCTACATTTTAATGTTAACCATAAAAAAATAAATTTGATATTTTATCATAATCAAACCATTAAATATTAACACAGTCAAATATTCATAAAAGAATACAATATTTCTTGTAATTTTATCTAATATTGTTTACAACATTAAATAAATATTTGAGACACACTATTCCATTCCAGAAGAATCAAAGATGATTGAGGGCTACAAGAATCCAATCCTCGACGAGTAGAAATAAGAGCACGCGCAAAACAATTCAAGCAATAAGAACACGCGCTTAAGTAACTCTAACAATATACCTACGAAGGATAAGGGCGCTCACCAACTTGAAAGAACGACAGTGCAGTATTATTTTGATAAACTACACTAACGATCCATTTTGTTTTTGCTCTGTCTTATTTTGATCACCAGTTTTTAAAAAATCACATTTTCGTCGCTTACATTTTGGTCATCGGATCTTTAACTCCCGTTAGTTCGAAGACTAAAACTCCATCTAACATCAGTCACGAGTCACCGTGCTCACGTCTAGAACCCTAGGCCCTCAGTCACCTAAATAAATATGTCCGCTCGCATGCCCCCTTCAATAGGCACTATAGCCCTTTTTTTTGGGCCGATTTAGATAGTTTTGTCGACTTGGGTAATTGGCCTCGAACGTAAAGATCGTTTAGGATGTTGGGTCATATTTATTTAGGTATTCAGATCGGTTGTAATGGGCTGTGGTGACGGATTAGCTAAATTAATTGTTTAGATATTTTAAAAAATTATATCACCTGTTGTTTTGCAGGTTAATCATCGTAATAATTATTGTTTTTATTATAACAAAAATAATAGATGATAGATTATATTTTCAAGTAATTTCTCGTGGTGATTTTTTTTAAAATATTTTTTTATGAAAAAAGTTCAAAACTTGAATTGGGCTAGAAAATTAAAATGTTATAGTTTAACAATAATCATTGTTCTTGTTATAACAACAACAATAATATTGATAATTTGACAAAGTTACTCTTATGTTGTTTTGTTTTACTAATTTAAAAATATCAATTTGAGTCTTTGGTAGGGAAAAATAATAAGATCGGGTTTTGAATTTTTGATATGCGTAAGAATAATAAATATACAAAACATATCACTAAAAGAAAATATTATTTCTTTTTAAGTCAAACGTACACTTTTTTTAGATAATCAAAACTATTGAGTTGAAGTTTTAAAAATATTTTTAAAATTTTTTATCAATAATAAATCTTAGGCAAAAAGTACCTAAAGCTCTTACATATTTTTTTTTTTTAAAAAAACTCCGATTAATTTTGCACTCAATGTGACCATCAAACATAGAAAAATAATCCAATGCGGTTATTTAACCAACAGTTTTTGTTTGTTGACCATTACGATGCTGATGTGATACTTCACGGTATTGACATGGTGGTCTACTAATGTTAACGTGGCGGTCTATGGTGACTAATGATGTGGTTGATGATGTGATAAATGGAGTAAATTGGTTTTTTACCTATAGCCGATTCCTTCCCATTTTCGTCATCAGAAGTTCCCAAAATTCTCCAATTCTTTTCAATTTCATCACTCTCACCCAAAGCCAAAGCTGTTAAAGACACAGTCAGGACATGTGAAATCGAACCTGCCATAGGGGAGACCAAAATCTGCGCTACATCTTCAGAATCCATGCTTGAATTTGTGAGAAATGCTTTCGGGGCAGATGTCGATTTCGAGCTAGTAAGCACAAGCCACCCCACGATGACTACCCAAACACTACAGAGTTACACAATCATGGAACCTCCTCGAGAGATCGAATCTCCAGAGAAAGTTGCATGTCATCCCCTCCCTTACCTTTACGCGGTCTACATGTGCCATTACGATGCCTTTGAGACCAAGATCTTCAAGGTTGCACTCGTTGGTGAAAATGGGGACAAAGTGGATACTCTCATTGTTTGCCATTTGGATACTTCCACTTGGAGCCCTAAACATGCAGCGTTTAGCTTGCTTGGGACAAAACCTGGAATGCCCTGTGTGCCATACTTTGTCAGAAGGTCATGGAGTTTGGATTCAGTCCTCCACTGCTGCTGCAATTTAGGATGTAACTCCACCATGTTTAATGGGCTCTCAGACTTGTTTGCTGCTGCCATCACATCCACAGCTCAAATCACCAATGTTTGCAGTTTATATTAGCCGTTTCCATGTAATAAATTGAAGGATATAAGGCCAGAAGTTGCACTGTGTTTTTAGCACTTCAGTTTCCAAGTGACTCCATCACCATTGTGTTTGTAGTTTCCATGTAATTGTGATATAGTAACCACATCCGCAACACACACCGTGCAATCACACAAATACTATGGGCTTAATTAAAACGTATCAATTAATTTATAATTCCACTAAATATCAAAGTATGTTTGACAATATCATAATATTATCATAAATAAAGTAAGCAAATGAATGACAGACAAAGGAGAGGAGGGATTTAAGGGCACAATCATCAGCCCAGAGAACAATTCCTTTCGGCATTTTACTTCTGCGAGCTTTATCAATTATTTTCGGTGTCTAACGCAGCCTGGAATTGATGCGTTGAACAGGAAGATTCTCCAAATTGGGGTTCCCCCCCCCCTTCAACAAATAAAAATAATCTGTAATTATCTTTTGGACAGTTGATTGTGCAGTTGGAACCCTTGACAGTTGTTTAATAGCTAAAAAATCTGAATCCAACTCACTATTCAAAACTGCATTAACCACGTAGGAATCCAACTACTTCCTTATCGAGGAAGGTTTGACATTTTGGATGAAACAAATCTTTCGCATTTAAACTTGAGTAGCGTTTCTTTTCTTCTCTTCTGATTAAAAGATATTATCCTAGTACGAACCGAGTAGTCTCCGTGTTAAAATAATGGTTATCGTTTTTTGAAATTCGAATTCGAGCATCGAGAAAATCAGAGAGGTGAACGTTCAATGTTAAGAGATTAAAAGTTATATTAAAACATATACTTACTTATATTTATCCCAAATTAATAAAAAAAAAAATATGATCCTACATTTTAATGTTAACCATAAAAAAATAAATTTGATATTTTATCATAATCAAACCATTAAATATTAACACAGTCAAATATTCATAACAGAATACAATATTTCTTGTGATTTTATCTAATATTTGTTTATAACATTAAATAAATATTTGAGACACACTACTCCATTCCAGAAGAATCAAAGATGATGTAGGGCTACAAGAATCCAATCCTCGACGAGTAGAAATAAGAGCACGCGCAAAACAATTCAAGCAATAAGAACACGCGCTTAAGTAACTCTAACAATATACCTACGAAGGATAAGGGCGACACCAACTTGAAAGAACGACAGTGCAGTATTATTTTTCTTCTCACTTCAAATATCACATTAAATATAAAACAAATCATTATTTTTATAAGTTAAAAGACTTTAAATATGTACGGACCAACTTATCACAGTGATTAAAAGAATCATTATTGTTTCTAGAGATCACAAATTCGAGAACTAGCAACTACAATAAGATAGGTGATTGAGCTTTCATTATCAAATAATTAAGAGTATTTATTTAAAATAGATATTAATTTGTAATCAACTTAACTTAATAAAAAACTTTAAATACAATTAACCCCTATTTATACCGGAAATTACTAGATTTTAGGCGGTGTATTACTCTTACGGTTGAACTTTTAATTGCTCTAATCCTATTATTAAACTTTGATTTGAGTGTAGATTTTGATGGATTCATCTAAACTTTCAAAACCCTTAAATGTTAAGTATCTAAAATTATATCGTCTTAATATTAAATGTCACATTAAATTTTTTTTATTTTGTCGTGCCATCACAATGACAAAAAGTTCCGTTCATGTTATTGTACAATTAAAATTTAACGATATAATGATATAATTAAAAATTAAAATTTAAATAATTAAAAGTTTAATATGTATATAATTTAGTCTTTTATATTGAAATCAATGGTCACGCTAGTAAATAGTACTGTACCAGATACCCGTATTATGAAGGTCAAACAAGGTGAAGTTGAGGATTTCTCTTTTTCAGACCCACAATGCACAACTCCAGACCAAATCTCTTGCACCCATTTCCCTACCGTTCTCACTCTCCAACTCCTCGTACGATACTAAACTAAAAAAAATGGATGCAAAATGCTTTGATTAGAATTGCGTACGTTATGTTGGAGTACAACACTCCAACCGGCCATTCAGACCATTAATTCCATGCTTTTGTTTTCTTGTTTCATGTGCTTCTTTCCCACCGTTGATTACTCATTCACACCGCTCTTATCATTACCCCAAGCTTCAACACAGTCCGTCGAAGGTTGAGTGCGAGTTTCTGTATACCATAAAATTCAAAAATTTTCCCATCAATTATTTATTTTATTATTAGTGTTTAATCTAAAATTTTATTTCTACTTTTTTCAAAAAAAAAAAATTCGATTAATTTTGTATTAATAATATATATGGGAACATTCTCAAAAGTAGGTTTTGATCGGCCACTGCTTCAACACCCTAATACTATTACAATGATTCGACATATATATAACTAAATCAAACATAAAACAATCATCAATCTAATACTATGATGAACAGTAACAACCTAAGTTGAAAATGTTTTCGAATTCTAATTTTGCTATTAAAAAAACGAAATCAAATAAAAGTAGAACAACAAAGCTGATGAGGATTCATCATTATTCACCCTCCTTTGGATCACTGCTTAGATCCAACGACTGAGATTTTCTACTGCTTTTCACCCTCAACAACCCATACAATTTCTTAAATTCCTTAACCGCAATTGCTCCTTCCTTGCCAAATACTCCGCTCGGTTCGCCACCTTCATCTAACGCTTTACTCGACCGTCCATCGCCCTCCGTTTGTAAAGCACTGATTACGGATTTCAAAGCCCGGCTCGGCGAATTCCTGTTCGCTATCATTAACTCGCCTATCTCGGCCGGGCTTAAACTCGACCCCTTTTGGAAAATCTCCTCTACCTGCGGGAATAGCTTGTGATCCTTGAGGCCCAGATAATTATTGGCCAGCGTTTTAAATGCCGTGAAATCGCATAAAGGAAAACGTATATGAACATCAATCCTTCCGGGTCGGAGAATTGCCGGGTCAACGTGATCTTTGCCGTTCATTGTGAACACCATGACTCTTTCTTCGCCGCAGCTGGATGTTAAAATCCCGTCCATGAAATTTAAAAGTCCCGTCAAACTCACCGCCGTTGGCTTTTCGGACAAGTACCGGTCAAGGTCCTCGATGACGATCACGGATTTGGCCGTGCTTTGCAACAAAAGAAGTTTAAGGACGGAGTCATCGGGAACTTTGGACAAATCGATGTCGTAAACATCGTAACTCAAGAAATTAGCCAAAGCTGCTATAAAACTTGATTTTCCGGTACCTGAAGGGCCGTAAAGAAGATAGCTCCGTTTCCAAACACGACCCAGTCTATGATAATACTGTTTTGCTTTGAGGAAAGACTCGAGATCGGATTTGACTTTGTTCTTAAGGTCGGATTCCATGACTATCGTTTCAAACGTTGAAGGATGCGTGAACAGAACGGATCTCCACCATCCCTTTTGATTGTCGACGACGTTCATGTAAAGCTTCAAATCTCGTTTCTGGTCTTCCAAATCATCGGAAACTGAGTGGATATGTTGAAGGTACGGCCGTAGAACTCTTTGTTTATCGGCTTTTCGAATCTTCAACACCAAATTGTTGTCTTCGTTAATCCAAAAAATCTTGGCACCCAGAAAATCGTCTTCGATGATTTGGTTGGGGTCGAGGCGGAGAACGATTTCATTTGGTTTTTTGCCGGTGAAGAGGTTAGTGAAATCGGAATCTTCAACGGAAGTGAGAGAATTAAGATAAACCCAAACTTTGTGATAGAGATGGTTCATTTGCATGCTTTCGCTGAATCTGGGGACTTTGAACAACTGGTAGACATGGAAGCAATCTTCGAGTAAACGCCATTTTTTCTTGACAATATAAATCAGTCCGGTCTTGATCAAAACAACCCGGAAAAGGAACATGACAATGAAAGTTATAAACAAGAGGAAAAATGGGTTATAAAGAATTGTCATGGTTTGTCAGAATCCAGATAGAAAGAGAGAAAAATTAACACTAAAGGAATAGACTTTTAAAGGCGACTTTTCTTGCAACTGGAAAGTAAAACATTTTTCCTGGGTAATGAAAAAAAATAGAGAATAAGGAAATATGAAGAATTGAGAGAAATTCTTGTTTGGGTGGAAGAACCGTGAAGGAATGGAATAAAAGATTAAAGATTAGGTAGATATAGTGTCTGTGTGACGGATGAATTAAATATAAAAAATTGGGCAAGAAGCGGCCACTAACCGGCAAGTTTGATGGGTCAAAATCCAAAACCGCAGCAATTGGAGAGAGACGGTGTTTAAGCGATAAAATATTTCTTTCCTATTTGAGGTTTTTTTTTATATTGTTGTCATATTTTCTATACATTTTTAATTTATTTTTAATTTATATAATATTTTAGAAGAATAGGTGTCTTTATTTTAATCTTGTTAGAGAATTTTAAAAATATATATTAATACTAAATAATTTTATGTTTTTGAATCTATTGAAAGATAATTTTTTTGATTTAAAACAAAGCAGCAGTGAGGATTAGCTGGAAATGCCTAGGTCCTTCATCAGCAAGTCGGTAACTTCCATGGGGGGCTCGGTAAGTACTATAGATCCAATGGGATGCCCTCTGCTGATTGAAGCCAGCTTGTCTGCGACGCCACGCTTAACCCGAACCATTCTTCTGATCCAATCCCGATCCCGTAGCTCCTTCAATGCATCCACCAGAGTATTACCGGTGAGAGCATCGAAAAGGTTATTATAAATATCAGCAACCTTTGTATTATCCGTTTCAATTACCACCAATTTGAACCCAAGTCTCCAAGCATGAACAAGGGCATGATGAGCTCCCAATAATTCAGCTATGAGAACCGAACACTTCCCTAAGCTTCGGGAAAATTCAACAATCCAATCACCATTATGGTTTCGAAGAACTCCACCTGCAGCAGCCGAGCCATCTCCCTGATTTACGGCACCGAGGAGGCAGTTCAGTGTCTACCTTGATCAAACTTCTCCTCATCTCGTTAGCACTCAGAATATCGGCTGCAAACTGGTTACAGCGAACCAGAAAAATATTTTCTTTCCACATAATCCGGGCCCAAAAGCACGCTGCATCTGTGCTTCCATAAAAACCAGCAGGCTACAGCAAAGTAAATTGGTCCTGCATTGTCAGGATTAATAAAACCTGAGCGATTCCTCAAGTTCTACTCCAACCAAGCATGAAACGGGAGTGCGAGGAAATCATCAATCATACCATCTCTAACCAATTTCGGCCAAACTGATTTTGCTAGTTTGCAACGACGTAAAACGTGATCAAGATCTTCAGCTCCTCCATTACAAATCTGGCAAACATTTAAATGTCTCCTCATTCACTCAACATTAGTGAGGAGGCGATCATGAACTACCGTCCAAAGAAACAATCTCACTCTTTGGGGTACTTCTAATTTCCATATCAAGCACAAGGGGGCGAACAGCAGCAATACTCTGGAGGATGTGATCGGTTAGAATATAAGAATTGACCAATTCCACGACCCAGAGGGAGTAACCATGGCGATGACAGGGGTTGGGGCTGGAGAGGTGTTACCTTTATGGGAGAATACCAGACGTTCCTCCTTAGCAAGCCAGTGATCATACCAAAAGTCCGTGATCTGCCCATCTCGAATATTCCACGAAATACACTCGTTGAAGTCATACCAAATAGACTTGAGACCCTTCCACAACCTAGACCCATTTGAAACGTTAAGGGTGATAGGCAAAGAACCCTCCCATTTGTACTTGTTACGCATAATTTTCACCCATAATTTTTCTGGTCTGGTCACCGATTGGAACCCAATCTTCATTAAATAAGCCTTATTCTGATAGAATAAATTAGAAATTCCCATACCTCCTTCCTTGGTCGACTTTCTCATTAAATCCAATTCACAAGGGAGATATGATTATTACCGCTACTTGTTCCCCAAATAAAACGACGAATTAATTTTTCTATCTCCTCGCATAAGCCTTTAGGAACCCAAGCAGACTGCATAACATACCCCGTAATAGCTCACAAAACAGCTTTCGCAAGCGTAATGCGTCCTGCAAGAGAAAGAGTCTTCGCCGCCCACCCTGATAATCTTTTATTCATTTGCTCAAGAAGATAAGAATAGGTAGCCTTGGTAACTCTGCTGTTCAGCAAGGGAACCCCAAGGTAACCCTGATATCTATTGAAAGATATTAATGATAAAAAAAGAGTTTTATTAATAAAGCTCATCGAAAAACTAGGGTAACAACCATCTAATGAACTCCTCATCAAGGTAACATTCTTGTGAGTGCCATACCAAAACTGGCTAATCCTCTCATCACAAAATTATCTTCAAGAACTCAGACTGTTCTCTTTCGCCTTTTAGATAATGATAAAATTGATATGAGTTTAATATAAGAACATGGTTTTATTTTTATTTTTCTAAATAAAAAAATACAGATTCATTACTTTTTGAATTTTTTGAATTTGAGTAGCTATGTTATTGTTGTTTATATGCGAGGTTATAATTACTGAAATTAATAAATAAGGATTAATATATTTTTCTTTTTCTTTTGATTAGATTTAACTTATTTATTAATTTAAAATTTCTCATTTTTCTCATTTAATTTAAAATGATTGATTTCTCAAACCTCTTGTATCTCTATTTATTCATTATATATTGGAAATAAAGTAAGCATATACATGCATATTTACAATATATAAAATACAACAATAATAGCAACTCTTAGACCACATCGACTTAGGGTTAAAGTGAGGGTAGGCACGAGGCTAATTGATAGTTATGCTTACAAAGGATCAAGAAAAAAGCATTGAAACTTCCCCGATTAAGCCATAGGGGACTACTTTCAATACAGAATTTCTGAAAGAATCCCAATTGGAAAACTATGATCAAAGTGGGTGAGTAAGGAGTAACAACCTGACTAGGCCTATAAATGAACTGAACGTTCAACGAACCGTTCATGAACCGTGCGGCAGGAAGTTCGTTTATATGCGTTTATTTATTAAATGAACGAACATGAACAAGATTTTATGTTCATTTAATTAAATGAACGAACATGAACATATGTCTCGTTCGTTCATTTACATTCGTGAACGTTCGGTTATGTTCGTTTATGTTCGTTCGGTTATGTTCGTTCATTTATGTTTAACCCAATCTTCTTAAATCAATTTTGGTGACCAATTTTTAAGTATCTTAAAAATATTAATTAATCTGATATTCTGATAATCAACTCCATAATTAACCCAATTTTATTTAGAGATTAAATCCAATATGTTAACTCATGAGGCACCTCGCACTTATAATCATTTTCCCCCTTTTTTCCCAAACTCTAGTGTTCATTGGAGAGTGAAGACGATCGGTGAAAGCTTCATAACAAGTTATATTATAGTGCAATCTAAAATTTTACAAGTATGTTTTCATCTTTCTCTGTTTTATTTAGCTTAATAGTTGATATGTAAAGTTACTGTATCTTCATATCTAAAACTCAAGAAAACATCATACTTATTTCCAGAAATAGATTGGGAAGATAAAGGTAACAATCGGAAGTATATGAGCATCAGTAAAGAGAAAAATATATAAAATTTGCCAAAAAAACAAAACAAAGGTTTCTATGCAATTTTTGAAAAAGAGTGTAATAGCGGAAGTAATGGATTTTTCAGGAAGAACCCATTAATAAGTAGAAAATACACTATGACAATGAATTTTTATTTTCATGGTTCTTGTGTGACCTTTAGTTGTGGAGTAGACTTTAGGTACGTTAAAATTTTGAATGGTGGTTTAGCAATAATATCAGTTAGATATGTAGCATCAGAGGGATTTTGGATTTATGTGTCTTGTAGTCTAATTTGTACCGTTCGAAATCTTCATGCTGTTAAATTTTCTACTCTGCCAATGGAAAGGATCATTATTAACAAATCTCACTAAAGTCTGACATTGATGTCACAAAACTTTTAGCCGGCGAATTTATTAGAATAACGTAGTGGAAAATGATTGTTCATATGTAATCATGGACCACTAAGATAAATGTTATAGCGTTAAATTAAAGTCGTGTGAATCATTTAATATCTTTAAAAGATCGATCGAAATATCTAATATCTTCAAACATTTTATCACTGCTAATCAGCTCTTACGCTATTTATCACTGTAGATTTGGTTGATTTGCATTGTCGACTATTTTTCATGAAAGAAAAATGGAAGGTAGGGTCTCCAACGTTTATGTTCATTTATTTATTAAATGAACGAACATGAACAAGTTGATGAGGCGGGGCTCGCATCTTATTAACTAGTTGATGAGGCAATAGCTTACCAAGGCGATGATTAGTAGCTGATCTGAGAGAATGATAAATGTATCTTAAATTCATTTTCTTTCTTTTTTTTATACCTTTTTTCTTCTTTTTAAAAAGTTTAAATTTTATTTTAATTTTATCTAGAGAAGATATAAAAAGAAGATTCTAAAAATAAAGAAAAATATTCATAATAAATCTAGAATTTATAATCTAAAAATTGTAAAGAAATTAAATTAAATAATTTAATCAGTCAACCAAATATGCTTACTCTTACTCTTTCTCTTTTTCATTTTATCTTTCGAGATTTCCAACCATCGAAGTAAATCATTATATTTCATAAGTCAATATGTATGACTTACAAAGTTGGTATTTGTTCTTGACCAAATAAATAAAAAATATATATCAAAGTTAAATAAAATAATATTTTATTTGCAATTATATATATATATATATTTGCGAATTATACCACATGACTGATTAAAATATTGATCAGAATATATATAGTCAGTGTTTGTAGTTGAATGGAATTTGAGATTTAATTTTTATACTTATAAAATTTAAATTTAAATATTTGTATTAAAAAATAACGTTATACATTAATATTTATCATTAATTTTATAGGTAAAATTTATGAATAGTTGTTAAATTATATTAAAATGATTATTTTAAACGGACAATCTAACAAAGTCGAAATAGAGACGAACCGTCTAAACATTGTTAACATAAAATTGAGTACAATATCATTAGTATATTAAAGAGATAATGTGACATGTTAAAATAATAAAAAAATAGGATTTAATCTCTTAAAATTTTATTTTATTATTAGTTTAAATTAAATTAATTTTTGTTAGATTAATTGAATAAAAAACAAAACAAGA